GGGGGGCGCACTAGCTGCGCCTCCCCACCCCCAGCAGACCAGGGAGACGCGGTCTGCTGGGGGGGGCGCTAGCTCCGTGTCTCCCGGCGACAGTGGGGGAGGCACCCCGCACTAGCGGGGTCCCCCCCCAGGTTCGTAACTAGTGGTCCGACTATATGATTAGCCTGATAACCACATGTTAACATTCTTACATCAGTCGGAACTGTGCTAAAAATTCTTAGGATCACTCTTTACATTGGTGTAGCTTTCTTACCCGTCCATAATCATGGCATCTAATGTTGTTTCTCCGTGTTCATCTGGACTTCCTCCAAACCCTACAGTTCCATCACACTGTTCAATCTCACACTGACCACAGCCTCTCTCTACTGCATCCAGCTCAGAGCCTCCTGACTTTAAGGTACACCATGCTGTAATCAACACAAACAACTTAAGTAAAAATAATTATTGTCTAATCTGTAATTTAAAATTTTAAAAACACACAAGAAAAATACACCTATATGGAGGTAAAAGAAATTGTATAATGTGTTACAATTCTTAGATGAAATCTAGAGAAAGTGTTATTTGGGATATAAAAAAAGTCAACATTTTTTGCATTATTGGCTACTGTTTCTGAAAGGAAAGCACAGAAATATATTTGTAGGGGATAACTTCCCACTGAACATTATCTACAACTATAGTGTATTTAATTCTACGTTAAAAAAAACCAATAATTGATTGTTGTGTAATCAAGCATTCCTCTCCAAAGTGTGACGGGCACTAAGTATACACACACAAACTTTCACACAGGTATCCAAGCCCACATGAAATCTAAATTAAGTCTGTTTAGCAATGTAAGATCATGTACACTTAAAAAAAAACCTTACAATATGCCATAAAAACAAGTTATGTTAAAAACATTTCCTAACAGCCATTTCAGAGAGAATGAACCATAAAACATGCAAAGCACAAAATTAAACCCATCAGTGTTTAAAGGTATATAAACAAACAGGAACTAAAAATAGCATTTATGCATCAATAAACATAACCATATTTTACCCAGCACCGTTGCTGTCATCTGCCTTTTGAGATCTAGTTTGTGGATCCAAAAAGGTTTTTTATGTGAGTCATACAAACGGCTCAGCTGAACTTGATTTATGGGCCTTGATTCCACAAACTGCTTCATGGGATCAGAATTCCGAGTCTATCTATTCTAAAGCCACAATGAAGTAAAGGGAGTCCAGCATGAATGTAGGGATCCACTCTTCTACAAACAAATGGCAGGATTAAGACATCCTGTAAATATTTATGTGCACATGATGCTGTATAGTGAGGAAGGTAATTGACTACACAAATAGGTCATCACTTCTGCAAAATTGTGATAAAACTTGTGCAAAATATACCCTTTTAGAAGCACCCACAAGTTAGTCCTTCAGGAATACAAAAAGAGCTGTGAATTTGAGCCTCTGTATATCTGAAGACACGTTAGCAGAGGCACACAAAGGCTGCGTCTAGATTGGCAAGTTTTTCCGCAAGAAAAACTTGCCAGCTGTTTACACTGACCGCTAGAATTTGCGCAAGAACACTGACAATCTAATATAAGATTGTCAGTGTTCTTGCGCAAATTCTAGCGGTCAGTGTAAACAGCTGGCAAGTTTTTCTTGCGGAAAAACTTGCCAATCTAGACGCTCTTTTCCGCAAATGCTTTCAACGGAAAAGTTTTCCCGTTAAAAGCATTTGCGGAAAAGAGCGTCTAGATTGGCAGGGATGCTTTTGCGCAAAACCCCTTTTTGCGGAAAAGCGTCCATGCCAATCTAGACGCTCTTTTCCGCAAATGCTTTCAACGGAAAAGTTTTCCCGTTAAAAGCATTTGCGGAAAAGCATGCCAGTCTAGACGTAGTCAAAAGGTGTAAGCAGAATTTGCAATTCACATGAAGAACTGCAGAGCCTGTACCTGCTAGGCAATGAAGCCATCTCAACTCCATTAAACAGCTAGGATTTGCCAGAAAAGAGGTCAAGCTAGGAAAGACAAGAACAAAAGCACCTTTTACCTCTTTCTTCTTTCCAACCACATTTCTTGAGTATTGAACTTTCAGAAGAAAAATTCTGAATACAGAACTGAATTTGGGCAGTAATTTACCTGTTTTAAGTTTCTGCATAACTTATTTCTTTTCTTAGTTAATAAATCTTTAGTTAGTTTACTAAAGGACTAGCTGCAGCATTGCATTTGATGAGATCTGAAGAGTACCTTGATTTGGTGGTAAGCAACTGGCTTTTGAGGGCTGGAAGAAAGCAGCATGTGACAATTTTTGATTGGGCAGTAAATGAGACTGGAGCACTAAGGGGACTAGCTAAAGACATTTAGTGGTTTTATGGCAAGTAAAGTGACTCAGGTTTGACTAAATCTAACTATAGGTTACACCACCACTTTGGGAGTGTTGCCAAGTTTGGCCAGTCTGATCTAATATTCAATATGTTGTTTTTTAGTTTATCCTGTACAGACCAACTCAGCTATCCCCTGAAGCTTTTTATCTGATACTGGTACTCTCAATTGTGACCTCCACTAGACAACAGTGATGCCATGCTCAAACCTTACTATTCTGAGAATTTCCAAGGGTTGTTTTTGTGATGCATCTCAAAAATAATCAGCTTAAGTATGTGCATTTGTGAAACAGGCCTTACGCTGGAAGTGTGATATTTCGTTGCTGAAAAAATGGATAACTCACTTAACTAACAATTAATAAAGGAAACAATTTCAAAACTATTGTTTAGCTTGGTTGCTTTTTAAAAATCCATCTCTACAATCTGTTCCCATCTTTGTAGATGACAGTAAGAATGAATACTCCTCTGTAAGTTACAACGTACACCTAACAGCAGATAAACACAACATCAAAAAATATGATGATGTTCAGAACTGCTGCTGTCTAAAGAATTATTTGGGATGGATTCTAAAGAGACACTGAATTTTTAGGAAAATATATTTTAAGCACACTTAATTAGGAATGTGAAAGGTTAAAGGTTAACAGGCTAAGTGGCTAACCAGTAAACATCACCCTAAATGGTTACCACCCTAGGGTTAACCCTAGTGGCTGGAGAAACTCCTGGCCCATCCTGTGGGGGATTGCTCCAGCCCCACAGGGTCCACCACAGACAGAGGCTACTGCAGCTGGCAGAAGCCCTGTCTGTGGCAAATCTGACCCCACTCCTCCAGGCGCTGGGCAGCCCTGCTACTGAGTAGACTTTGCTGAGGGCTCTGCAATATTATATAAGGCTTATTTAAGCAGTGGTAATTGTGTAACCTCTAAGATTTTCAGCAGTTACCTCTTATAACTCTACTTTTAATACTTGTTACTAAAATCTATTCAGATGGTGAGAAGTGAAAGGCATGTAAAAAACTCAAGTTTGTCGCAATTTCGGGTGTTTCCTAGTTCAAAGTGAGAACATTTTTAAAATGTCCTGTGTGTGCATGTTCCTAATGGAGCGCTATTTGGTTTTCAAACACTGGTGGGGAAGGGCAGGTTCTTCTTAAAAGTATGGGCAAAAGCAGCAGCGAAAAACCACTCCGCTCGTTCTTCAGTTTGCAAATATTTTACTAAACTGTAAGAGCGACACAGGGACGCGTCGCTTCCGTCCTCCCCCCGCGCTCACAGGCAGCGGTGCAAGACCAGGGTCGCAGCCGCCCCGCTGCGGGAAGGAAGGAGAACAGGAGCGCCCCTCTGACCCGCCCGCCCGGAGCCAGGACACCTGTTTCCGTCGCTTTCCGAAACGCCCAGGTGTTGACGACTAGAGGCAGCGCAGCTCCACCGGCGCGCGCCGCCCCGGGCACAGGCAGGTGGCCGAACCCCATGGCCGCGCGCCGGCAGCATTCATTCATCATCCGGGCGGCGCGCGAGCAGCCCAGCTTCCGCGTTCCCGCGCTCGTGACTTAATCACGAGACCACAATTTCACAATCCCTGCGGAGGACGCGCCGCACCTCCAGGGACGCTCGTGCGCGAGCGGCCGGGGAGGAGCTATCAAGACTGAGCGAATGGCCCCGCCCCTCGTCGCCGTTGCGTGCTCCCTCCCTCCTCGCTCGCGAGCAGTGCTATCACCGCCACCTAACCCCCGCCCTCCGGGAGAGGCCGCGTGCTGCTGAGCTGGGCGGCAGGTCCCGCGGCTGGTGGTGCCGATGGGACAGGCCTGCACCAGGTGCACACGCCAGCTCCCTGGGGTGGAGCTGCCCGTGGTTCCTCACCCGAAATCCGTGGGTTAGAGGTGGCTCCTGGGAAATGGCCTCCAGGTGCTGCCTTAGGACCCAGGCATTGGGAGCCTACTCTCTCAGGCCAGGATAAGCTGTGGGCAGGCATGCTGCCAGCCAGGAAAGCACCTGTGCCACATGGATGACTGTCAGCCCATGCTCAGGGCAGTGAGTGGTGTGTGTGTGTGTGTGCGCGCGCGCTATACACCCAGGACTTCAACTGCTGAGACCAGGGTCCCTTGTAGTGGGCAACCTGGAAGAGGTTGACGGGCGCCCCAATAAGTTTACAGGGAGATCTTATTACACTTCAGATTTTAGCTGCTAGAATCCGTGATTCCTTCGCAGCGGGCAGCCTGGGGGAGGCTGAGAAGTGCCCCAACGGATTTGCCACCTGGGAGTGACACAAATCCAAACGCCCAAGCTCTCCCTATATCTGTCCCTTAAGACCGGCTGAAGTTCTTTAAATTGTGCCTGGTTCTGTTACAGCAACTGAAGGAGTCAGGTTAAAGCTTAAACAGTTACTATTTTATTGAGGCAGCTTATAAATCATATGGTTGCAATGGCTATTGTTCTATTTCTTAACTATTAGCAAAATATAGGTCTTAAAAATGGTTACAAAGAAGATAAAGATAGAAAAATAGAAATAATGGTACCAAGTAACAGCTTACTCTTTCTATGTGTACACTTAAGACAGAGGACCACATCCAGGTACAATTTTTACCCCCTTCTGTGCCTCTCTGTTACAGATAACACAGCCACTACAAAGGACAGGACAGAAATTACACTAATAAGTTACTTATAGGTACCATGAAACCCCTTTTGGTTCTCTGAGCTCTTATTAAATGCATGCAAAATAGACACATAGCAGGTATATATTCTCACCCCTGTGTTCCAGACTTGGCGTGGCCAGCGTCTTTCTCTCAATCCCTCGGGAAGAAGTTGGGCGTCCCACAGACCTCGGGAGACAATCAATACCTGCCAGCAAGTATAGATGATTGGAGCTCAAATGGGGTGGGCTACTAAACCCCTCTTTATACCCCTTGGGTCATGTAGGCTTCTTCCTGGTCTCAAGTGGCCAATTAGGAAAAATGGCTTTGAATGCCAAGTTTCCCACGAAGGGTGCAAAGCATAATTCACACCTGGGAAAATGCAGACAATGGGCACCTCTGGTATGTGATGGGCGAAGATTCCTCTCCTGGGACAGTGCAGGCGTGTCAATTACAACCCCTCTTTATACCCCTTGGGTCATGTAGGCTTCTTCCTGGTCTCAAGTGGCCAATTAGGAAAAATGGCTTTGAATGCCAAGTTTCCCACGAAGGGTGCAAAGCATAATTCACACCTGGGAAAATGCAGACAATGGGCACCTCTGGTATGTGATGGGCGAAGATTCCTCTCCTGGGACAGTGCAGGCGTGTCAATTACTGGTACTAGCCATCAGAACTGCGGGAGGCCCCGGGTACTGTCTGGTTTCTGTTTATGGTAGAGTCAGGGACAGGCAGCACACCTGCGTTCCCAGGGCATCAAAGGCTGACTACCTTTCTCTTGCTCTCTGGCGGAGGGGCGAAACAAGATGGGGTTCATGTCTGGCTACAATGACTCTTAGCAAAAAATACCGAACCCCCACCAAAAAATGCAAGGAAAAAAATTCTGTTGAGGAAAAAAAAAAGTACCAGAGGCGAAATGCAGTTGTGGCCTCTTTAATTCCTGGGCCATTCCCCCTGCCCCAGCCAGCGTGAGTTGCTGCATGTTCCAAGAAGCCTTCTGTCGGGCACCCAAGCCGGGCTTTGAGAAAAATAGAAAATACCGGACATTTTAGATATCTGGTATTTTTTGAATTTTTTTACCAGACAGAAGGCGCAAATACTGGGCTGTCCAGTTCAATACCGGATACCTGGCAACCCTAAGCAAGGCACAGAGCAGTGGACTACCCTCATCTGAAATCGGAATGTGTGTTGTTTGTTTCAATAATTATGCTTTGTAATAGGGATATTAAGGATTAGTCGACAAGTGTACTATCTGATAAGCCAATGCTTATCGAATAGTCAGTCGACTAGTCGATCCCCCCTTGCTGCTTCTATCTGATAGAGGCAGCAAAGGGGGGGGGACAAAGGGTACTTCAAAGCGGCAGTGCCGCATGGCTGAGCCCGGGATCAGCTGTGCGGTGCTGCTGTTTTGAAACGCCGCGGTGGCGGAAGTCCCACGGACTCCATGTTGTGCTGCCGCTTTGAAATGCACAAGAGCCCCTTCTGGGGACTCTTGGACATTTCAAAGCTGGCATGCCCTTGTGAAGCTCACCCTGGGCTGCATGCAGAGTTCTGCATTCCTCCTTTGAAATTTACAAGAGCCCCAGTAGGGCCCAGTAGGGGCTCTTGTACATTTCAAAGGAGGAATGCTGAAGTGCCTATCGACTACTCATGTAGTCAATTAACCATTATTTAACATCCTTTTTATTGTGGCACCACACTGCTGCTGTTGCCAGCTCTCATAATATTTGATCTTTGCTGAAAACAGCAACGCCAGGAGTTGTGGTTACCAGGGCAATATCATGTGTCATTAAAAAATAGTATTTTAGCCATCATGGTTGCGGAGAAAAACTTGAAAAGGGAAACCTAAATGCTCACAAACCAGAAGACAAAAAGCATTCACAACTTCTTATTTTGAAATCTTATTTTTTTGTCATAGATTAAGAATACACATAGATTAAGAATCAGGTTCCTATGAGAAAAGTTAGGCTCTTTTTATATATGATTGCAAGACTCAGGTTCTTGGTCCACTCTGCTTTTATATGAGTGTCTCTTCTAGCAGATACCAAAAACAGGACTATGTAGCACTTTAAAGACTAACAAGATGGTTTATTAGATGATGAGCTTTCGTGGGCTGGACCCACTTCCTCAGATCAAATTGGCACAATTTCTTCCACAATGGGAGTGTTTCTGTGATGGACTTCAACCAAGAGCGGCCCGAGGCTGGCTGGAACAGCTGGCGCCCTAGGTGGGGCGGCGCAATCGGCGCCCCTGCCTGCATGGCTGTCAATGGCCATGACATCATCATCGGGCGCCCAGGCCATCGGTGCCTTAGGCAGCTGCCTAGTTTGCCTAGGCTCACGGGCCGCCCCTGACTTCAACCAATTTCTATGATTTTTACTGTCATGGCAAATCATTTATGTTTCTCTTTTTAAAAGAAAAACAATCACAATTTATATCACATAATTTCATAGTCATGTCAGTTGTGCTCAAAGTGTACTGATTAAAAAACACCTACAACAAATGGTTTAAAAGTCTTTAACATGATATTATAGGAGTTTGAATTATTTTAATGCACCTGGCTTACCTGATGGTAGCATGTGCTCAGATATACAGTCAATACAAGACACTGTGTTCAGAATAATTGCATTCAAGCAATCAGTTATTTCTTAATTAACAACAAGAAAAAAACAACTGCTGCTGTTCAGAACTGGGATGTTATAAAGGTATATACTTTTCCACTCTATGTCATTGGTCTTCTGGAATACATCCTGGGCCAAATTCAGTGAACTTTTACCAGGAATGTACTTGGCCTTGTATAGCTATTCAATTCATTAGAAAGAGGGAAATTAGATGTCTGGATCTTACATATGACAAGGTCACATATGTAGGCATTTATAAATTGACAGTACACCCAAGTTGGTTTAAAAAGCCTGCAGCTATATTATTATTATTATGACAAAACAATCCACTAACTTTGGAAGGCTATTGTAGTCGCCAAGCAATAGTATTATCCTTTATTACAAAAGTCAACAACATAATAAAATACACTTAAAATATTGAGTCTAGACACAAGAATAATTTGACTTTAGCTTCCAAGATTTCCCAAGAGTAAAACTACAAGAAACCTTATTCAGGTAAATACCCAGTTAGCTAATTCATTTCTGATATTAAAGTTCTTATTTCTGCTATATATCTCTTTATAAGGTTGCAGGGAAAATATAAGGGCAAGAAAGTTTGAGTTACTGCTAGCTTAAGGGAATAAAGAGAAAAAATGACTACTAAGAAAGTAGGCTTGTTAATAAATGAAAAGGAAGACAAAATTAACCACTATTCTAAATTGGCCATGTTACTATAACTTACTGAATAGCTTGCATAGTTCATCTTTTAACACGATAAATTAAAAGAGGAATATGGACAATTATGATGTAATGAAGACCTTGCCTATATAGCTTTTGTTCACAGGAAAATACTGATCAAGATGGATGCATCTACATCATGCAAGCCTGGAGGGCAGAATATTTAAGGAGCTTGAACATTTGTTAGGACACATAACAGCATGTCATTGGGTCAAAATGTTTGTTTAAGGGTAGATTTTGTTGGGTTTCGTTTCTATGACAATGCTTTGTATTCAAAATTTAGTAACAGCTGAAAACAGGAGTTAACACAATCATTCATTTATCTCATGCTATAAACATGTTCTAATTTATTATTTGTATTGAAATGCTCCTTTGTACTAGTGACCATACAAACACACAGGGTACATCTACACAGCACGGCTAAAGTTGAATTAAACTATGCAACTTTAGCTAGGTCAGTTGAGTAGCTTAAGTCAAAATAGCTTAATTCGTCTTTTGGCGCTGTCT